ATTATATAAATCGTTGGCAACTCAGCCAAATGTCCTTATTTTCTAATTTTAGGACAATTTATCCCCATTGTGTTTTCATTATTGTAATTTAATCAAATTACTAGTTTTAAAAAAATATTCACCCATGTCCGCTCTTGTTTCAGACATAACAAAACATTATTTCTCGACAATCCGGACGTAACATAAATTTGAAATATTCGGCTTCATGGGAAATTTTCCGTGGCAAGGGCATCTTTAAACATTGTAGATTGCCTCATCCCCAATAGCTACTCTCATTTTCTCAGTCAATCTGTTTCAAAGCGGTAATGCGAAAGCGAATATTTACTGCTGATCAGTTTGAAACCCAGGAGCTAACTTAATCATAATGATGTGTTTTAACAACGATGGCGTTCCTGTACCCCGTATATATACCTGTATCTTTAACCACGTACTATTTTTTGTTCTCCGCTTTTCGAAGAAATCAGGAGACTATTAAAATGGGTTCGTCCGCCCGTCTGTCTGTCCCTAACTGTTTTTGGGACATAACTCTCCTTCGAATTGAGCTAGACTGTTCAAACTTGGTGTTGGTGTTATTAGGTTGATGCCTTGATAGAGTTCGAAAATGAGCATTTTCTGCTTAGGATAAGCAGAGATAAGCAATTTGATTGATAGATTCTTTGGGACACAATAACTTTAGTTCTAATTAAGTGAGAGTGATCAAACTTGGTGTATAGTTTCATTACATCAATACCCTGACAAAGTTCGATATTGAATTTTTTGTGCTCAGGGTAAGCAGCGCGATAAGCAATTTGATTGGTCGACAGTTTGGAACACAATAACTCTCCTTTTTATTGAGCAACAATGTTCACACTTGGTGTAGGCGTTCATTAGGCGAATGTCTTGATGGAGTTCGAAGAAGAGCATTTTCTGCCAAGGGTAAGCCGAGATAAGCAATCTGATTGGTTGATGCTTTGGGACACGATAACTTTTGTTGTAATGTGAGAGTGATGAAACTTTGGGTATGTTGCATCACATCAGTACCTCGACTTAAGTTCGATAGCGTGGTTTCCCCTTGTCAGTGATGCAGGACGGAGGGTCTGACAAGGACAGCTGTCTAGTCGTTCGGATGTGACGAAAAACCGAGGTCCCGTGTACATATTGGCGTGCACGTAAAATATCCCTTGACAGTTGGAATTCGATATTAGAGTAGGCCATAGTGCCGCTGTTCAGGCAAAATTTCCCTCATAGCACACTGTATGGCGTATGCCCGTCTTCATTAGCCCAGGTCGGAGCAGAACAGTAGGACGTTAAACCCCATTTCATTTCATTTCATTTAAGTTCGACAATGAACATTTTCTGCTGAGGGTAAGCAGAGCGGTAAGCAATTTGATTAGTCGAGATTTTGAAACACAATAACTCTCCTTCTAATTGAGGTAGAATGTTCAAACTTGGTATAGGCGTTCATTGGGTGAATTCCTTGATGGAGTTCGATGATGGGCATTGTCTGCTTACGGTAAACAGATAAGCAATTTGATTGGTTGGTGCTTTTGGGCACGATAACTTTGGTTATAATTTAGTGAGCTATGAAACTCCAGAGTATAGATTCATTACATCATTACCTTAACTAAGATTCATGAGAATTTTCTGCTTAGGCTAAGGGGCGATAAGCAATTTGATTGGTCAAGACTTTGGAACATAACAACTCTACTTTTAATTGAGGTAGAATGTTTAAACTTGATGTTGATGTTCATTTGCAGAGCTAAGCAATTTCTTTGACTTTGATTCTATCTGATAGAGAGGGTGATGAAACTTAAGGTATATAGTTGATAATCTAATCTTTAAGTTGATAATCAGTTTGATTGCTCTTTACTTTTGAAACAGATAAACATGCGATTAATTAAAGATACATTATGTAAGAATTAGATAAAAAGCTGACCATTCTTGCTATAATAGCTCAAAAATAGATAATGTAAAATGTAAATACTGAAAATTTCATTCAAATTACTTAATTCTGAGCCAGGTTATCACTGTTATACGCTGTTAGAAATTTGGGGTCGTACCCACACCCGACCCCAAAAATGTTAGTCAGAAATTTTGAGTCATTCATTTCATTTTTTGCATTCCATTTTGATTCCTTTCGCATTTGGAAAGGGACCCAGTAGTCACTGATCAAGTATGATAAAATTAGTGGTTGCTGCCATTAGGGGGATCACGTGGCTAAGTGGGTAAGACGCTGGCTCGCTAGCCTGGAGGTCGGGTGTTTGATCCCTGCATTGGCCGAGAAATTTCATTCAGATTTTCCGGCGTGGTTTCCGCTTGTCAGCAAGATGGATGGCCTGACAAGGACAGCTGTCTAGTCGTTCGGATGTGACGAAAAGCCGAGGTCCTGTGTACACATTGGCGTGCACGTAAAAGATCCCTTGGCAGTTGGAATTCGATATAAGAGGATGCCGTAGCGCCGCTGCCCGGGCAAAATTTCTCTCATAGTACACTGTATGGCGTATGCCCGTCTTCATTAGCCCAGGTTAGGAGCAGAACAGTAGGACGTTAAACCCCATTTCATTTCATTTCATTGCTGCCATAAAAAGCTCTAATATACTATGCATATGATACAGTCCGGCCTAAAAAGCTCTCTGTTATATGCTGGATATAAATTTTGTTTTCAAATTATGATTCTTATTTCACAATTAGTATATTTTGCAGACGCAACTGCCACCAACAGACAACTTGCTTGATATAAAACGTATTTTAAACAGTGTCTTTCTGCGTTATTATGGAGATATATTGGAAGTCATATTTAGTCACTGGGCAAGTCTATTTCTGAGTCCCATTCTAAGTCCATTTTAAAAAAAAACGTGAAGCAAGGAATTCGCGGACGTCACGAAGGCCATTGTTACCTTTTGGTGTCGTTTTGCAAACAATGTAACACACAAAATAGTGTTCTAAAATGGCGTATTTGGTGTTCTACAAGCGGACGTCGGGTTTACAGTGTATTCTTTTTGGTGCCGTTTTCCAAACAGTGGTGTAACACACAAAATAGGCGGGGACAAAACAGGGCTTGAATATTCCCAATGTCATTCTGTTCCCAACCGAATCGGTTACTGATTCTAGTGATCTGAGTTGTATTTTGATCTGGTGGATTTTTACTAGTAGCCCCTGATTCTTATCGATCATCCAGTGATATTGCTGCCCAAAAACCACTGCCCCAATGCGAAACACGAGAGTTCTCACACTTTCCGGACCAAGAAGGTCCAGATACTTTTTTTTAAAAAAAAAATAATCTGCGGTCCTGCGCGTAAAATAGTATATTTTTGCAAATCTAGTTTTCGTTTTCTACTTTCTAAGATGAAAACTCGGAAAATGCATGTAAACGAACGGCAAACTAAAACAAAAAGGCACACCCTGGCTACCTAAAACGGCTTATTAGTCAATTTAAGTCAACATTGATTTTGTTATCTTACCGTGAAAAGATGGGCTTCGAATATCCAATATTTAAGACAAAATAAAATTTTTAAAATTGGCATACGAATCGCGTGCCAGAATGCAATGAAGCGACTCGATGAACGAGGGTTACCAGGCTAAACATATCCTACAGGAGAATAATACCAGAGTAGACTGGAATAACCAGACACCAAAGACTGCCATTCAAAATGGTCTTTTTGCGTATTTCGCCGAACATAACTGATTAGAAATAACAGTATAAACAGAAACGGTTGAAAGTAAATCAATGTATATACATTCATATTTATGCTTCTATTTTATTTCAATAATTCGCTTGCGCGTAGGGGTCTTTAACAGTGGGAGGACCCGGAGAAAACCCACGAGGTTGCACAGGCACCCCCCCCCCCCACACACACACACACACGCGCACCCCAATTTTGAGACTGAATTTGCGATATTGGCGTATTATGATATTTTGATAATGAACATTATAAAAATTTGAAGGAAGGAATACGACTTTAGCGTACCTATAATTTAGGAGAAAAACGAAAAGTTCGGAATTGGGTCGCGACTCGTTTGAATTTTGAAGATTATCATGCCTTGTGTGGGCTTGAATCAATCTTACTCGACATTTATTTATTTTTCTAATACATCAAAAAAAAAAAATTTGAGACTCATTAAGTCACCTCGATGTCATCCTTATCAGTGATTGTCGCGGCCTAGCGAATATACACTGCGGATCAGTGTGGTCATTTTGGGCAAGTTGTGTCAAGTTGCAATATCACTCGGCTTTATACGGGGCGCCCATACGTTGGTCGTTGGCATTTTAATTGCGTCCAATGAAAAGGGTGGCCTGATTTTTTCCCCAATGGGAAAGGCCCCCAATGAGCACCTTCGGCACCTAGTTGAGGCGCCGATTTTTTTCCGGAGGGAGGGGCAGCTACCTCCCTTGCACCCCCCCCCCCCCACTAGCTACGGGTCTGATGGGTGGGAAATTCTCACCGCGCAAAAGCAACAAATTAAATATTATTAAATATTTTTAAATTCTGAGATGAACATATTATTTTGAAGTAGGCTGTCAGCATAGATATAATATAACACACTACCTTGGATGGTTTCTTAATTTCAGAAGAGTTTACAGTTTCTTTACCAATAAACATTGCGGTAAAACAATGGGTAACTCTATTGTAAAGAAAATGACCAAGAATATTTACTTAGAAATCCACGAAAATTAGTAAATTTTCGGGTTGAAATAGACCTATTATAGAGGATATTTATATATAGTAGCTTTGTGTAATCGGTCTTGGCTATATATATAGTATATGTTAACGTAGGCCACGTATTTTATCCAGGTTGAAACGAATAAACCATTGCCAAAACCTACAATTCACATGGTTATTCAATTTCTTTGGCTTGTTTGTAAATAACATATTAAGTCATATTTCCCGCCTTATTGCTGAACTTATTGTGTTAATTTTTTTGTCATTACTCATAGCCATGGGATTTTAGTCAGTCGGCAATATGCCCAATGATGTTGACATAAAGGTGAGTTATAAAGACGACATGCGCATTGAGGAAAATATCGTTTGGGTTGTAGCCGTGACGTCATCCATCATACAAACAAGAAAATGGCGGAAACAGACCTGAATATCGATACCTTGATTTCAAGACTCCTCGAAGGTATACCAGGGTGATATAGAAGTATAATGTTGAATTTCAGTTTATAATCGAGCTTAGGTTTCGCCGTCCTAATAAAGCACTGACTTACTTCGCTCCGAGCTTAAATGGGAGTCAAGACAAGAGTTTACGAAGTCAAGTCAAACTCAATTTAGACAGTTTCTAAGTTTGGAGTTTACTCACTGAACTACTAGATCTACTACTAGATCTAGGCTAGACAAGTTGAAGCAAAAGTTACACTCAGTTGTAGTCTGATCCATTTAGTTTATAAATCAGTGATTTCATCAGAGCAATTAACAGTCCGAAAGCCCTTTTGACTAAACTCCGGCAAATACATATCAGTGTCTGAGTGTGACTATTGTAACAAACGAACAGTAACATTTATAAATACATGTACCATCTTAAAATCATTCACATGTGAATGTATGTTCAGTGCAGACTGAGACACTGGCTCGCTAACCTGGAGGTTGGGTTTTCGATCCCTGCATTGGCCGAGAAAGTTCATCGAGATTTTCCGGCGTAGTTCCCCCTTGTCAGTGATGCAGGACAGAGTGCCTGACAAGGACAGGTGTCAAGTCCTTCGGATGATACGAAAAAACCGAGGTCCCGTGTATACATTAGAATGCATGTAAAAGATCCCTTGGCAGCTGGAATTCGATATAAGAGTTGGTGATAGTGCCGCTGCCCGGGCAAAATTTCCCTCATAGCACACTGTATGGTGTATGCCCGTCTTCATTAGCCCAGCATAGGAGCAGAACAGTAGGACGTTAAACCCCATTTCATTTCAGCGCCGACTGCCCCGGTGCATGCATGAATCTCCGTTTAATTTTCGTTGACTAACCAGCGCACACAGAGTGAACTCTGTGCAGGGTATTTAATGGATTACTGCTTTGATAATCCGCCCCGTCATTAAATATTTCACTACTCTGTTCAATTTTTCGCCGTAATCACCTTGTAAATATGTTTCATCTGTTCTGTACATTTAACTATTATTTGATTGTAAAATGACAGTTGGTCCTGCGACATTTCAGACTTACAACCTTTCGAGCTCTAAAAAAAAAACCCAAAATGGCCTTGGTCAGTTGGTGTTTCAGGCCTCGGGCTGGTGACATTACGGACTAGGGTAGGTGACATTTCGGACTAGGGTAGGTGACATTTAGGACTCGGGAAATAAGTTGAAAGGAAAGGTTTTACACAGCTGTCAAATCAATTTAAAATAAGCAAAAATTGATTTTATTAATAATATGCAGGTAAAATTTACAACTCGCCATCAAGTAGGCCTACACCACCGTATGCTGTGGCGTATAAACCTCTTAAGGAGTGGAAAAATTTCCAGTGTTGAATGTTTATGAAAAGAATGTTTAATTATATATATGGAGTTCGAAGATGAGCATTTTCTGCTTAGGGTAAGCAGAGATAAGCAATTTGATTGGTTGATACTTTGGGACACAATAACTTTAGTTCTAATTAAGTGATAGTGATGAAATTTGGTGTATAGTTTCATTACATCAGTGCCTTGACTAAGTTTAATAATGAACATTTTCTGCTCAGTGTAAGCAGAGCAATAATCAATTTGATTGGTCGAGACTTTGAAACACAATAACTCTCCCACTTAGCACTAATTGAGGTAGAGTGAACAAACTTGGTCTAGGTGAATGCCTTGATAGAGTCGGAAGATGAGCCTTTTCTGCTTAGGGTAAGCAGAGATAAACTATTTGATTGGTTGATGTTACATGATAACTATGGACATGGTTCTAATTAAGTGAGAATGATGAATCAATACCTTGACTAAGTTCGATAATGAGCATTTTCAGTTCAGGGTAAGCTCAGTCATAAAAGCAATTTGATTGGTCAAGACTTGAGAGCTTGACAACTTTGATTATCATTGAGTGATAGTGGTGAAACTTAGTGTATAGTTTCATTACATCAATACCTTACTTGACAGAGTTTTATCATGTGCATTCTCCACTTAGGCTAAGCAGAGATAAGCAATTTGATTGGTTGAGACCAAGGAACACGATAATTTTGGTTCTATTTGGGTGAGCGCAATGAAACTCCCTGGTATATATTCATTATATTAATACCTTGACTAAGTACATGTATATGATGAGAATTTTCTGCTTATTTCTTACACTGTTTACAGGTGTTTTTTTTTTTTAAATCGAGCCAATTTCCATTCTGTATCCGAAGTCCTTTCTTAACACTTAACAGGCAATTGTAAATTCGCTAGCTCTCGTCGTTACTGGCAGACCCTAAAGACAACTAATATGAAAATAAGGTCTCCATCACCTGGGTTCAAAATTACAAATATTGAAATAATGAAATAATAAAAAATTTCCCAGATGATTAAATACAGAAATTTTCTGAATGTATCAATCCCATTCTTAACAAATACATCTGACATTTCGAACTGAGAGTGTAAATTGTTTTGGTTTCATGGCGCTGGTATTTTTTGATGGGTATTGAAGGGACCAGTTCTTGGTCAAGATCCATAGTGTAGATTATGACTCATATTCATATCTGTTTCTATTAGTAATTCTCATAAGCACTTTTGATACATGTAGGTCTACACCAGAATGGGGAGAAGGGGACTCATTGTATATATTGATTACAATATCTGACTGGAGTGCAGAGAGACCTATTTAATGATTCTTTGATAATTCAGATTACATCATCAGAATAATCTTTAATATGTCAACATGACATGAGTCAGTGACTCACTGTTGAAATTGAAATGATATCTACATGTACTTGATACACCACATTTGTAAGCTTATTATTATTGATAGTATTAAAATGATAAAAAAATTGAAATATGAATCGTGATAAAATCGCATAAACTTGGTATTTTTTTGTATTTTTTTTACTTTCATACACAATATGAGTTCGTAATATGATGCCTAATACTAGTAATACCTTTTTTTTAAGCTTGTTTTATTGTGAGCGAAAATTGTATTGCATTGCAGCTAAGCGTGATATGGTGTTATCTTGTAATATTTCTGTAGAAGAAAACCTCAAGCATCAGTGGCATTCAGCGGTGTCAGTGTGATTATGTTGACTATGGAGAATTATATATTGTAACAAGGATGTCAAATCTTTTTGTTGAATAAGCAGATTGTTTTCCCTCTAGTAGATTGGGTGGAGCTACATGTAATGTTCAATGTTATTGCACACTTTTGCTGGTTTACACTAGTTTTAGTAGAAATCATAGAGAAGTGGGGTGGGTTTTCTGTGCCATAACAATAAGCATGTTGAGCAGTTGTCAATGTTACAAGTCATTTATAGAACGCCTCATTCGTTAACAGATTTAACCCCTCGGCCTTCGGTCTCTGGTTAAGCCTAACTCATGAAAGCCGTGCTATAAATATAACTTACATCATACATGTATTTCAATTTGACAAAAGTGCAGTCAGTACCTCCAGAGTCCAGACAATATTTAACTGCTTTAGGCCATGGATTTGGTACACATGGTAAATAACTGGTACCAGTGCAGAGATACTGGAAAATATTTTTAATTAGTCCTTAGTTCTACATGTATTTTGATATATTTTCAGTACGAGGGTGTCGTCCTGGTAAAACAGTTCAAATGACAGAGTCGGAAGTTCGAGGACTTTGTTTAAAATCAAGAGAAATATTTTTAAGTCAGCCCATTTTACTTGAATTAGAAGCGCCTTTGAAGATTTGTGGTAAGAGCTTGGTTTTGGGTCCTTAGTCATTCCACTACAAAATGGGAGCAACTTTTAGGTAGTAGGCATTCATATTCTCAGTAACAGAGAAAAGTGGAATTTAAAGGTACTAAATCACTATTCTTGGGCACCTAGAAAGGGACCCAATCGTTTCTGTTTTTACTGTAATTTCTAATCAGTTATGTCTGGCGAAATACACAAACAGTGCAAATGGAATGGCAGTCTTTGGAATCTAGCTATTCCAGTTTACTTCGGTAATTTTCCCTTGTGGGATATGATTATCCAGTCACTTCCTTACAAAAGGTGCTTAAAAGCATTCTGGCACACGATTCGTGTGCCAAGTTTAAAATTTTCATTGTGTCTTAAACATTGGATATCAGAAGCCCATCTTTTCACGGTTGATTTAATATTGATTTAAATTGACCAATAAGTTGTGTTTGCATTGTCGAAGACTGTGGATAATACTGAGTTAAAGACTTGGCTACTTTGTCATTTGAGGGATTTTTAATCCATTACAAACTACCGTATAATATTGTGAATGTTGAATTCATGGGCCTTAATAATTTAGTCCAATTGAATCCATTGAATTCTAGCACTGCCATCATTTTTATACGCCCACATTGAAATGTGGTCGGATATTGTTGTCACCCACGTCCGTCCAGCGATCCAGCGTCCACAATTGCTTGTGGGTGCTCTAGAGGCTAAAGTTAATTTCCGATTGACTTTAAATAGATACAGTGTTTAAGGTCATGAGACGAAGAATCCTATTGATTTTCAGCGATTTCCGATAATTTTTGCCAGAGTTATGGCCCTTGATCACTTTGAAAATCTTGTGGATGCTCCAGACTAGTCCAGAGGCTAAAGTTAATATCCGATTGACTTTAAATTTATACACAGTGTTTAAAGGTCTTGAGACGAACAAGTATATTGATTTTCAATGAATCTTTATGACTTGAACAGCTAAATTCATGATGTTAAAAGTTTTGTATGCTAAACGTTAGCATGGGGCAGAACTTTATAAAAACCAAACAAATTCTAAAGTTTTTCTGATAATTACGTAATGATAATTACTTAATCAGATTTTAATGTATTATAAATGTTTCATTACCAAAAAAAGTAAAAATATGCGACAACTCTTGTTGACTGCTCGGACGATATAGCGGCTGTGGGCGTATGTTTCGTTGCCTGGCAACCTATCTTTGTGTAAATTCAATGGTAAAATTATTTTGTTTTTGTTTACAGGAGACATTCATGGACAGTATACTGATTTATTACGTTTATTTGAATATGGTGGCTTTCCTCCCGAATCCAACTATTTATTTTTAGGAGATTACGTTGATAGAGGAAAGCAGTCATTAGAAACAATATGTCTTCTCTTAGCCTATAAAATCAAATATCCCGAAAATTTCTTTTTATTACGAGGAAATCATGAGTGTGCTAGTATTAACCGTATTTATGGATTTTATGATGAATGTAAGTAATTTAGATAAACATTGTACACATATGTAATTTGTCAGTAATATTAATAACATTTCTATACAATATTAATGAGCTTTTATATGGTACATGTAGCATTGAAACGATCATAATGGCATTTCTTATGATCGCCTTATTAGAACAGTGAAGGTTCAGAAATCTGTTTATGAATTATAACAAAAAGCATTCTCAAAAGTGAAATAAAACATAAGTTACATGAAAGTATTTTGTTACAATTCCAAATTTCATTGATTTACAATTAAAATCTAAGAAAAACTATTAGTTTGTAATTGATTTAGACTGACAATTCAATATTTTATGACTCATGAATTTCTATATACAGGTAAAAGAAGATTTAATGTAAAATTATGGAAAACCTTCACAGATTGTTTTAATTGTTTACCTATTGCTGCTATTATTGATGAAAAGATATTTTGCTGTCATGGAGGTAAGATAAATTAAATAAACTCCTTTTTCAGTTTCACAGCCATGCATTCATTTTTACACACCAACGTTAAAGTGTCATGAATATATGTAGTCATAATCCCTATCCAATATTATTTTTAATAAACATAATATATAATTATTGTACAGGGTTATCTCCAGACTTACAGTCTATGGAACAAATTAGAAGAATTATGAGACCTACAGATGTACCAGATACAGGTAAATTATTAATAAATATTTACATCTGATAAAGTTGTAGCAGGGACATAAAAAAAAAAAATTTGAATCCACTAGCCCAGGACTAGTAGCCTACTGTCTGACACTAGATCCGCATAATTTTCCACTAGTAGTTGGAGAAGCCTTAATATTAGCCTGCATGTACATGTAAAGTAAAACTTGATAAGTGGAATAATTAAAGAAGAGTAGGTGGGAACGCTGAAATCTGCACAAAATTCTCCTCCCTTGCACACATAGTCATAGTACATGTACATTGGGGATGCTATAATTTTGAATGTCGAATATTTTTAGTTGGGGTTAATAGAGGCTAGAATTAAGTTGCAAGCAGTGATTTGTCAGCTTCAGGAAAGAACGTCAATAAGCTTCCAACCATTCTCTCTAATGGATTTCAACAACAAATATTTTTATGTTATTTTGTATGTGTTTTGAATAGAAAAAAATACATGCACCTCGCTATTTTTCATAATTTAATTCCCATACGTTATTCAAATTCATGTCAATGATATTGCTACAAAATTACGCATTTTCGTAATACGATAGAATGAAAGTGTACAGAGGGGTACGCGTACCTGCTTCAAATCCATGTCAGTAAACTATTCCTCCAAAATGATGTGTCTGAGTTTATACGGCAAAAAATGAAAGCATAGTTCGTTTATACGGCAGAAAATGAAAGCATAGTTCTTGATATGGAAACATCGATTGTCTTCTATATAGAACGGTATTTTAAAATTACATCGGCATAGCCTTGACACATGCAATACAGGTACGGTTTCCATGTTACTGTTATTTGTTCAAGAACCATTCTAGTTAGTTATGTAGAAAGCAACAATAACTCGCATGGAAGTGTCATTTTAGCTGCAAATATGTTTGTTAAAAAGAGAAATACATGTATTAAAATGGTCTGTATAAGCTTGGATTGGAGAAAATAAAAGTGGGATACTTTACAGTTTATTTATCTATATCACTAGTTTAATTCACAAACTATAAAAAAAATCATCAGTGAAAGGTAACTAGTCCAGGACTAGTACGGCTAAATGGGTCTCTAGTCCATAAGTTATTTTTGGTAGCCCTGGTGTCGGGCTAGTGGATTTTTACACCCCTGGGTTGTAGAGATATAGAATATGGCGTAACTGTTATAACGGTACACGTACTTGCCTTTTTCCTATATATAGGGTTATGTATGTGCAGTTTCATAATTGGTGGGTTTGCATTTATATTATATTTCCCCTTAAAATCTATATTTGTTTTTCCAGGGTTATTATGTGATTTATTGTGGTCTGATCCTGATAAAGAAGTACAAGGTTGGGGAGAAAATGATAGAGGTGTTTCATTTACATTTGGTTCTGATGTTGTCAGTAAATTCCTCAACAGACATGACTTAGATCTAATATGCAGAGCTCACCAGGTAATTTAGTGTTATGTTTTTTTCTGTTGAATACTTGTAGCTATAAAATCGTAAGATAAAATATTAAATGGGCATCATCTTATTTGGTTACCATGGGGTATGTCACTTGATATTAGACTCTACTGAACAGTGAAAACAATAACGACATGTATGTATCTGTGCATGTTAAATAAGGCTTCGAAATATTGCCTATTTCAAAATTTTATCCGCAAAAGAATTGATTAGTGTAAATCGGTTGCCTAGATCGCTGAGTCTCATTTTACTGACTCCTTGTTCACAAAATTTGTGCATTAAACCACGGTTTGGGATTTGCTCACATTGCATGATTATTTGTGATGGAGAGTTTAGGTCAGAATAAAGAAAAAAAACATGCAAATGCCAATTGAAGCTACAATAATTTTTAAAGAACATATTGAAAAAAAAAATTTAAATGACATGATATACTTTTTTTTTATTTTTAGGTAGTAGAGGATGGTTATGAATTTTTTGCCAAAAGACAATTAGTGACATTATTTTCTGCACCTAATTATTGTGGAGAATTTGATAATGCTGGTGGCATGATGTCAGTTGATGATACTCTTATGTGCTCTTTTCAGGTATATTCACTTTAAAATTCTTTTTTTTTTATTCTCAACAACCATGAGACGAAGAAGCCTATTGATTTGCAGCGATTTCTGATACTTACTGCCAGAGTTATGGCCCTTGATCACTTTGAAATATTTTGTCACTCTGCAAACCTCGGCAGATTCCGTTACTCTACATCTAGCCTCGGCTGTATGACGGTAAGTGATGTGTACCTAAGCCTATACAATTGCGATGCGGCACCGATTTACTTATTAGGAAAACTTGACGCTTCTCAAACCAAGTTCTCAAAAATTGCGTCGTGCACAGAGTGTAGAATTTTCAGTGCAAAGTTGTCCTTGTTTGAAGAAAATCAGATAAACTTGAAAGTAAAGCAGCTTCAGACTTTGAAATATTTGTATGATAAAACATTCTTCAATCAAAGGCCTAGTCATGGGCAATGCCGTTGGTAATCATCGAACTTGAAAGAAGTTCCAATGGGGGACTTCGTCGTACAGCCGAGGCTAGATGTAGGGTACTGGAATCTGCTGAGGTTTGCCGAGTGATATCTTGTGGATGCTCTAGAGGCTAAAGTTAATATCCGATTGACTTTGAATTTATACACACTGTTTAAGGTCATGAGACGAAGAAGCCTATTGATTTTCAGCGATTTCCAATAGTTACTGCTAGAGTTATTGCCCTTGTTCTCTTTGAAATATCTTGATATCCGATTGACAATAAATCTATACACAGTGTTTTAGGTCATGAGACGAAGAAGCCTATTGATTTTCAACTATTTATGATAATTACTTCTGGAGTTATAGCCCTTGACCTCTTTAAAAATTCTTGTAAAAGCTCTTGAGGCAAAAGTTAATATCTGATTGACTTTAAACTTATACACAGTGTTTAAGGTCATGAGACAAAGAATCCTATTGATTTCAACGATTTCCAATAGCTACTGCCAGAGTTGAGGCCCATGATTACTTTGAAAAATCTTGTGGTTGATATAAAGTTAATATAAATTGTTTCAGGTCATGAGACAATCGAAACAAATTCTAATGTTTTTTGATAATTACTTCATGGGTTATTACTCGTAATCAGATTTTCATATCTTGTAAATGTTATTACTGACAAAAGAAAAAATATGCACAACACTTGTTGACTGCCCAGACGACTTAGCTGTGGTAGTCGTATGTTTCATTGCCTGGCAACCTATATTTCATCATTAGCTTTGAAAATTTTACAGATGTTACTTATTTTGAGACTGTTTAATGATTTATTTCTGGCACTAAAATTATGAAATAATGTCTTCAAGTTATATATGTGAATTTTGACACATTGTACAGGTCTTATGCAACATACGTGCATTTGAGAAACAAGATTTGTCAGCAACGATAGTTTGTAAGTGATGGATTGTTGACCAGTAGTCCATACAGGTGATGGACTATCAGAGATAGTTTGTTGAGCTGTATAATTTGCCCTGCCACAGATCATTTGACAATTCCGATAAACTTGTGTACAAATTCCTTATGTTGCAATATTTATTTCCTTTCAGATATTGAAACCATCTGAAAAGAAAGCCAAATACCAATATGGTGGACTCAACTCGGGTAGGCCAGTCACACCACCACGAGGTCCACAGAAAAAGAAAAACTGACAGGCACCATATTAATATATTTGTTGAGTTCTGTAGTATATATGTATAATATTCATACCATTTTATATTGGTGTTAAGTCTTAAGATATTGTTTTTGAAATAGAACAGTTTTTGGTCTTAATGCAAGCAACCACAATATCATATTAAAACCCAATAACTGTATGATACCATAAACTTAAAACTTGTCCAAAAACAAAAACCTGAAATGGTTTCTAAGCTAGGGTAGGTCTATTGTGTACTGTATTTACAAGTAAAATATCTAAAATTTATAAAAGGCTTGCTTCAGTCTGTAAATATATTTTAAATATAAGCTTAGGCATTTAAAAAACTTGAAATAAACATGAGATTTGATTGACTTATGCTATGAAAATAACTGAGCTTTTATATTTCTAATCAAAATAAGTATATATATATATATATATTTTAGATTTCTAATGAAAATAAGCATATATACTAGTATAAATGACTTATTTTGAGGTAAAGGGTATATAGTAGATCTACAATATACCACTATCAAACAAAATTATTTATTTCATAAAACAGTGTGCTTATAAGTATTTATAAAGTTTAAAGCAATGTCGTTATTCACCTGTCATCCTATACATTGCAACATATAGATCTGAATTAATACACTGACAGTGATGGAATAAAGGGGTGATTATTTATAGTTAATAACGGCACATCCTTTGTATTTATATATTTAACTGTATATTTGTTGATAATGTAGATACTTATATAATGTTATTGTTGATTTAAAATGCAAAACAGCTTTCTGATCCATGTAAATGGAATATGCAATCTTAAATATATATTAAAAAATATCAGATTATTTTTGTATTGATTAATTAAGCCATTTATTAATTATGTATGTCATTCTTTCGTATGTGTCAATATTGTATGGCTTTGACTATAATGTGTATATTGCAAGGCTTACGCTTACATGTATTAAAATCTACCTTCAGTATTCTCTTTTTATTCTAAGCCAAAAAACCCCAAGAAGTCAGTCCCTATAATCATGTTTAGATTCTTTGTAGAATGATTTAGATGTAATTTTCGCCTTATTCGTGTTTATGAGCTTTTGAGGTAATACACTAAGGCAGATTTGTTCACATTGTTTAAATATTGATCTGATAAACAATGTAACAATTCTTTTGTTCAACAAATTGTATGTTTATTGTATGGTTTAGTAAAAATAAGAGATCTTTTTGTCAATTTAAGGCGAAATGATGAATATAGAAAATGTTTGATTTTTGTTTTAATAACAGAACATTTCTACGTGTATATGTGAATCATGTAAAGTCCATTAACTCAAAATCTACAATTAAATTATAATTAATTAACAATCTACAGTTCATCATTTGTTGTGAATATATGTACTATAGATTATTTTAAACATGGCCCAGAAATATCTCACTTGTTGACATTAATTCTACACTCTCTTTTTTATTCAGCACAAAATCTTTCTGGGCATTTCAGAGAATAAACTGGATCTATCCAATCAGTTGAGATTGGACATAAAGAACAGAAAGCTACATATTTATGTAGATTGTATATAAAAAGTTAATAAAATATATGATAAAAACACAATAATATTTAGATTAGGAATAAATTTGTTAGTAGAATTGAATATTAACTTCTTAATGTCATATATATATACCACTCAAGATATAATCATGTTAGCAATAAATATTTGAAATATCTTGAAAATATTGATTTAAATTGAATAGTAGAGGATAAATTTTTAAAATAAAGTTCAGATCATCATAGTCACTTGTCTCTGTGTTAAAATTATATTTAGAACGTGTTTAACCAGTTCTATCACATGTAATAATGACTGACACCAATATTGTCCTTTAAGTATCTAATTATGCATGCGAGATTGCTCAAATTGTCCTCACAGTTTCAATATGGCTTTGTCTTATCTTAATGAAGATGTTTATCAATCCAGTAAATTATGATATCTTTAAGACATGAAATTGCATAATATGTATTATAAAGATGAAAGCTTGTAATGTATTTCTTTTCATACAATCTAAACTATGTACATTGAGAATTTCTATTCTTTGAAAAGATATGACTTTTTCTTTTTAAGGAGAACATATTTTATCTTTGTGTCAGAATTTGAGCTATTTGTAAACAAACCTATATAGAAATCAATTGTGCCTTTGGTTTTAAAATGCTTATTTTTAGTTGAACAATGAGAAGTAAAGCATCAGTTTTGTTTGCCATAGTTTTAAAATAGTTATTTATGACATTTTATGAATACAACACTTTTGTTAATGATAATGGATTTCATGTGGTTATTTCTGTCTATATTTAGAAAAACTAGAATGCTGTTACCTCATACTAGCCTGCTCCATTCTTTAATGAAATGGGAGGGAGAGAAATGGGATTTAACGTCCACTCAACACAAACTAAATTATTTTGGGACTAACATATGGTTCATTTCTACTTAAATAAGTGGTCTTTAGCTGTGGGGGGGAGGGGACCCGAGAAAACTGATGAGGTTGGACAGGTGACTCTACTCCTTGTCACAAACAAGAGTGGAATTGAAACCATGCAACTTGACGCAATGACAGACTTTATGATCTAATGTGCATGCATTAAACTATTCGGCCACCCAACCTGGCTAATGTAATGAGGATTTAGTAAATATAGATGCTTTCATCATAAATTTGTAGGACACTATTGGAATGCTTCATTTCATTGCATTAGGGCTCTTTGCGAAATGAGGAAAACCCCACTAGGGTTAGTGAGTAAATTCTGCGATTTGTAGTAAACAAGCACAAAATTGTAGTATATTATTTTAACCTAATGAACAGCTCTACCCAAATTTTGAAAATCCCACAGTCTAGATGTTGATTTGAAACTTCATCAAGTTCCAAATTCAAATCCAATCAAATTACATAATTCTGCTTGATCAAATTCATCAATAACTCTGCAACACATTCAGAAGCTTAAATATATTCAAAATAATTCTCCAGTAGCACATTTTATGAATCATAAAGTAAATGAAAAGACAACCCAATGAACAGTCTTGTCAAGATGCCTGCCTTATGAAGTGTTCACAAGAAATGTTGACAGGTTAGGGATGCTGATTACGGCATTCAGCCACATTCAAAAAAAGTAAATTAAGAACAATTTCGTAAAGAAAATGTATTTTTATTACTGGCTATAAATCAATAAGAATCATTATGAATATAAAAATAGTCACAAACAATAATCACAGCTCATGCTTTTCATCAGTTTCTGTCTCAATTATAATTGTGAATATTAACTAATATCTAGTTATAATTAATGGATACAAAACTTGTTAACTGAGGCTACCTTGCCATTAACAGACCTAGAATAATTTAATAAGATCACCTAACTAATGCTCAATTCGTCACTGATCTTAATTAATGCTTGTGTTAATAATGTAAAAGCTTAACCTTGTAAGTGTGGGGAACTCAAATTGCTAAATGCACTTTATTTGTGTTAATCTTATTCAAAATACCATGTATTTACAGATTTCTAGTTCTAACGAAATTAACATAAATAGAGTGAAATTACCTATTTCAATCTCTAATCAATGAGGGCAACATGTTTATTTTGGTTACATTTAGAACCAATCATGGTCACTACCTAACTTCACCACCTGTGTTCACAAATGAAACAGTATGCTAAACTTTATTTACAACTTGTAATGTGGCATATATCATATCTTGTTTTTTTTTGGCTCAATAGTCTTAACTTTCAGATATTTCTTTTATAAACTGTAATAATTCAATTTAAAATAACAACAAACACAACAATAACGAATCTTGAGCCACTAAAGATGATTGTTTTCAAATGATTAATAATTAGCATGAGTAAATAATTACAAAGCTATATAAAGAGCCATGGCAGAAGTTTTAGCTAAAATGAACAATAATATCTGGTGGAAAGTGTGATCAGGAAGACAAAACAGCCCACTCCTGTCTGAAAGACAAAAAAAGGTAAGACTGCTACAACAAATGCGACAAAGAAATAATATATTTTGATTCTAGATATAATTTGTGGTATGAATCGACCATTCTAAACTTTCAGCATCCTCTGCAGATGACATAAAAATGCTAACTATAAAGTCTTTTGATAGGCCTCTTGGAAATTTAATCCAACTGAATCAACAATTGTACCACATCCTGACATTATCTTTACCCATCTCAGATTATCTCTTGGATACAGTATAGTTCATTGTACTTTCTTCAGAGCAATATCAACTCTTGGGGCCCGTTTCACAAGGCACATGTGACATTTTTTACATACACACACATTTTATTAGACCACTCTGTTTAAACTTATGTGTGTGTGTAACTTTATGTAAACTTTGTGATACTGGACCCAGGACAGGTCCAGTTTTTAGATAAAGGTAATATTGATGAAATTGCTAACTACACCATTTGTGAATCAAAACAAATTATTCACATGATATTCAAGAATATACTCAGTCTTCAGTATTATGTAGAACCTTGACCAATACCAGCACCCAATCTTACCAAATTATCAAATGAAGCAATACAATAAACCAGGTTTTGCCAGTTTATTATTATATTCTCAAAGGAATTATACTTTCTCTTAAATAAAATTTTTACAAGTACCTTTATATTAGTTGAATTCTGGCTCAAAGAAATTAGCATCACCAGCTAACATAATATGACAAACTCGGTTCATGTCCATTCTATGATTATAATCGATATAATGTTTACCATCTACATATATCTAAAATATTAACAAAAATTTATCATTTCATAGTATAACAACTAGCTATAGGTAACATATCATACTTATTGGGTCGACTGTCTGGAAAACAATGAAAAAAATCTTCCATCTGTGACAAACAGGTTAGGGAACCTAATAGAAATAAACCAGTGTATACAGTGGCGGCGCCAGCCATCGGTGATTGGAGGGGCAAAGTCCATGGTTAAGGGGGCAAAGGCACGGGCTTCAACTAGGGGTAGGGGGCCTCCCCCAGAAAATTTTGAAAAACAGGTTGCCGGAAATGCAGCCTGGCAGTATTTCAGGCACTGATCGATGACGTAAAGTGTCAAACGAACGGACTTGCGAATCACGACAAAGCCCACTCACGAGTGTCAAAGTAGACTGCCGGAAATGCTGTCTTACAGTATTCTGTCAGGCACCATCGTCAAGATAAATAGATCTGCCCAGATACCGTTCGTCGTCTGATCACTAGTTTATCCGACTAGAGAACAAAATGTCAAACGAACGGACTTGCGAACCTCAACGAATTCCACTTGTGAGCGCCAAAGTAGCTAGTCCATTGGGGACTTCGCCAAGAAAATTTTGAAAAATAGACTGTCGGAAATGCTCTACAACATGCAAGTTTAGGACTGAGTGGGGATGTGGGATTTATTCACCGTAGAAGGTATTGATTACCGAAACGTATCACAAATACTTTTTTTTATTTTCTAAAAATATTGGGGTGGGGGGGGGGCAAATAGTGTATATCAGGTAATTTTCATAATTCAACCATTTTAACTTTATTTTTTGCTGTTCCGCAGGCTTACATAGTTGTGTTATAATATTTACCTTATATTCATCATTTAAGACCTGCATAGCTATTTCAAAAGTATCTTTTTCCTCAAATGGGAATTCTGCTTGATCTCTTTCTTCATCTCCCCAATTGCCATCTAATAAATGATTTCTAACTGTTTGTCGATCACTAAATCTTGGGTTAAAATGTAGAGCTATATCTGTACTACCATCATAATCCATACTATCATTACATTGTAAGTTGATCACAAAACTGAAATTTAAATTGTAATTTGATTCTTATATTAAACATACATTATGCAAGAGCTAAATCTGCCTATTTGCAGGTCTTTCTTTAGGCTTGAAATGTTATCGAAAATATGAGACATTAATTAACTTATCCAGATCATAATCAACTCTCGATGTCATCGCTAGCCTGCGATGTTTATTGGATCAGGTTCTGATTTGCTGTTCGACTTCCAATAATCATGAAATGGATAATCAAGACTATGTTTTTTATCGTACCGACTTTAGTAATGATGATCGAGGCTAGGCCGAAAATTCAATCGTTAAAATCTCGGTTCAGAGTGAATCAATTTGACTGAAATTTTCATCAAATTCCCTTTACATTATCTGGTTTTTAGCCATTATAGTGCGAACTGCCAGCTAATCTCCCATAATGTAGGCCTATCATTAAAGGAACTGAACTTCTTTGATTTACGTCAAAATAAAGTATTGAATTAGATTGATCAGATGCACTATTTTGATTAATGATGTGGGAAACTGTATATGGTTAGATATTTGCTTTGAAGGATTAAGCAAAAGTTTTATAAATTTTGTCTTACTGTGTTATATTTGTTATATCTCAAGAATTGCTTTATCTTTAGATGTAAAATTGTCATCCCACAAAACAAATCAACACATAAGTATGTGACCCATATCAAAGAGGTCATTTTAAAGGACTTGTATGAACTCACATATCTTGCATATATTCCTTGCTACAGTGAGCAAAACTTGAAATTATCACAATCCATTAAGAAGTGAAATGAAATTGAGCTCATCATCCTATTATGAGACTAATAAGGTACCCCATTTGGGGAAGAATTTTGCCAGAGTACTGAACTTTTAATTCCAAGTGAACAAAGGTCTTTAACACAAAGAGTACCTCAGTTTTATATTAATGATTGTCATTGCTAAAAATGAGTATTGAGAAGTACCGTGTGTTGAATTTCAGACCATCTGTATAATACATTAGCAAATTATTAAATTTCAAACCCAGTGTAATTGTGAACAGAATAATATCTTACTTTTGAGCATCTTTTTTGGCTGTACCAAGGAAGAATAACCATCGGCCTGGCTGTAAATTTCCTGGAATTTTTTGTATAATTGGTTGATCCTGATAAGAAAATAAAATAAAACTTCATAATAAACTTCAATGAGAAATTAACAGCAAATTAGTTGGTAAACAATTCTGTCATCGGTGACAAATTTATTGCTGGAAAATAAAGCAATTGTCAAGTATATGAAGCATTTAATTCTGAAGGAAACCAACATTTTGACCAATTTACAGAGGATATCTATTTTTAAACAATACCCCAGAGAAAGTTTGGTCATTTAGTAAAGTGTTAATTTAATTAACCTACATACAGAACATAATTATCACTTTTGCCAATTTAATTAGCATAAAAATCCATAAATGAATTAATAAGTTATAACAGGTACAGAACAATGACATATCCATTCAGTAAAATAGGAGATGAAGGGAGGGGTGTCTTTATAGTAGCACGAAAGTCAGGAAATTGGATTATCAACTAGGATTTCCCAGATTTGAATCCCTGCATGGGTCGAGAGATGAACCACAAGTATGCCTAGCCATTCGTATAGATAGAACCTTTCTTGTAACGATTTGTCTCCCCAGAGTTCACATGCTACTACTAATTTACCAAGGGCAGTGGATAACTGAAAACAGCAATTAAAATACATAAAAGTATCATTTATTAAAAAAATACTTACTAAACGCTGCAACAGTTTGACTTCAAATATATAAGCATCTCCAGTTGCATTAATAGATTTGATGTCATCAACATTTCCACGAGCTTTATAAGACTCAAACTTTTTACCATTAACATAAACCTTTAACACAAAAAGTTGCAGTTTTTATTAAGTCTGTTCTTCTCTTCAGTGAATGGGTGCAGATTCTGTTTAGATTCTAACACCCATTTACAAACTAACTAGGCTTTTTTTGAACCGAACTTATTCTGGACCAGAACTCGTACACCAATATGAGATGGACTGGCAGTAACTGAGAGCTATGTCTGGCTGGTTAGTGAATCACATAGACTGATGCGCTTAGTAGAGAACTTAACCATATTACTTGCATGACATTGACAATGTCCTTACACCTGGGCTTAAAAACTCTTAACCATTTATGTGGATAGACAAGTTTACATAAAATATTACCTTGAACTTTGAACCCTTTGTAACAATCTTAACTTCAAATGGAAGAAGTTCTAGAAAAGCTGGTGGATTAGGAACCCTTTCTTCATCCCCCCAATTTCCATCAAATCTACTGTTCATTATAACTTCCCCATCATTACGTCGTGGGTTCAAGTGGAAGGCAATATCTGAATCAGCTATCGAATAACCATTCAATAAGTTGATTGAGAAACTGGAACATTAAATATCAATCTTATTAAAATACAGAAATAATAATTAACATCAAATAGTCTATACCAGTAGATGCATTTATACTTGGTAAAGGATAAACGTTTTGTTCTCATAACAGTTCCAGGCCACCATAAAATTCAAGAAATTTGCACTGTTTGCATTACTATACAACAACTGTTTTCGGAACTTTCCTTGTATGCTACCCAGATGAAAACCAAAGCTTGCAATTTTCGAGAAGAGAATGACGAAGAAAACATATCATAACAACAAACCTTTCTCCCTCAGGATAAAAAAAACCCTTGACGACAATCATGTCACTTTTTTCTAAACCAGATTTTATTTCTTTACTAAAATCACCTGGCTATAAAAATATAAAAGAATTGATTTTACTACAATTGTTGATTAATAAATAATAGATAGACCATTCTTATTTTAATGAATTAATATCAAGATGAAGAAACTTATTGATTTTTAACTATTTCCAATAATTTACTTTGAAAGGCCAAGTTAGAACTACAAGAGGCTAAAGTTATCATCTTTTTAACATAAAGCCTATCAATTGTCTGTCTGAATTGTCCTAAATTCACAGAATTGCGATCGAGTGAGGCAGAATTTAGTCCTGTCACAGTTCTGTCAGTCATGACAAGTGAGGTGATTTGAGTAAGCAACCAATGTTTCAGCTGTCATGATTGGTTGAAATATTTTCATATGCAGCTGGCGCACTCGTTGTAGCTCGAAATTCACCTTTTCACTCGAGTGTCACTATTTTGGGATTGGGAGGATTCAAGTCTGGAACGTTCAATTGAGTATCCCCTTAGTGTCGTGTAAATTACCATACTTAAAAGTTTATGGCATAGGCATATGTTTGGTTGCCTGGTATCCTACCTTTTTCAAATTAGAATTCTCCTCCAATTGTAGGATTTGCATCATAAAAAACTTTTCTTAAAAGACAAAATATAGGTTGCCAGACAAAGAAACATACGCCCACAGCAGTTAGTGTCGGTTGATAACTTTTGGCAAAGTGAAAGAAGGGCCATAACTCTAGACATAACAAAAAGAAATTGCTGAAATTCAATAACCTTCTTTCTTTCACTAATTCAAATAAAGCATATAAATTTCACAAAGATCGGATGACAACTTTTGGAGTTGGAGCATTCATAAGGTTCAACAAAGTGAAACAAGGGCCATAACTCCAGATGTAATTAATGGAAATTGCTGAAATTCAATAGGATTCTTGATTCTACCATGGATCGTATCCATGATTTTACTAATTTAAATGACGCATATAAATTTCATACAGATCGACAGATAACTTTTGATGTTAAAGTGTTCACAAAGTGCAGTAAAGTGAAACAAGGGACATAACTCTAGAAGTAATTAACAGAAATTATTGAAATTAAATAGGTTTCTTCATCCTACTAATGTAAACAACATATATTAATTTAAAACAATCGGATAACTTTTGGCATTAGAGTGTTCACAAGAAATTGTGGACGACAGACGGACAGAAACTGCAAAACAGCAATGTGACCTATTTCAAAATCATAAGTTTGTCTTACCAGTGGTTCATATATGTCTACATCAGCAATTGATAAATCTCCACCACAATAGATATACTTCATATCCTCGACAGGGCAACGATAATTAAATAGGGTGAAAAACTTGCCATTGACATAAACCTGTCACAAAAGATTAAAAATTTAAAAAATAAATCATAATAAACACTCAATTCAATACATTCTTTTCTGTGTGAATTTTTGCATTAACTTAATGTTCATATTTAACGTTAGGTGTGATGAACAAAGACATTTAAAGCACAAAAAAGATCAGAACTTTCAATAGTCATTTACAACCTGATTCAACCAAATCAGGAGAAACATTGACAGTCGCATGTCCAACTCTAACTTTAGCTGGGTCCGAGGTGGTTGAGCATGGGCCAATAATAATCTTAAGCAATTTTCATGCCTGGATCTCACTTGTCCGGGGTAGCACCGGGGTAAATGTCAAGGAAAGTGCAGTCTAGAGACAGTTCCAGCACTTTGGCATGCACGCGAAAGAACTATTGGCAGTAGCTATTTGATGAAGAGCAGGCAGAAACAGTGATGTCCGGACAAACATTACTTGGGTATATTACCCAATATACAAGAAAAACTCTAAAGTCAATTCTTATATGATCGAGTAGATCAATTAGCCTGCAGCGGTTGCCAGGCAAGATACGCCCACATTTTGCAAGAGATAGAGAACAATCTAAAAACAAAAGCCATTTTTCGTAGAATAAGGGGCCATAATCCAGAAAGTTATGGTCTGAAATACGCAAATATCAAAAAGGATATAAAGATACATTTTAAGTTTCATCAAAATCGGATAGAGGGCCTACAACCATGGTATTACATACTTTTACACAATTTGCATACAGCCATTTTGTCCGGCCACAACCTTCATATGGTGGAATGGTGATATGTTTAAATGGTTTTTAAAATCGGATAAAAAATTGTGACCTCCAAAGAATCCACACGATTTTTCGTACAATCAGGGTTTGTAATTCAGGAAGTTACAGTCTGATATGTGCAAATAGCGAAAGGAACCGAGATCTTTTTGACATAAACATATAAGTTTTATCAAAATCTGACAACAATTGTGACTTCTAGAGGGTCCACAACCTTGGTATAACATACTTTTACACCATTCGCGTACAAGGAGCTACCATTTTGTCAGGCAGTTTTGGTCCGATTTTCACGAAATTGGAACTCAGCCATCATTAGGGTGTAACAGTGATATATTCACACTTTTTTTTTTAAATTGGATAAAAAAAAAATTGTGACCTCTAGAGAACAAGCTAAAAAAGAAAAGTGATTTTTTGTACAATCAAGGGACACAATTCAGGAAGTTACAATCCGATATTTGTGAATATCGAAAGGAGCCAAGATTTTTGGGTTATAAACATGTATTTCAAGTTTCATCAAAATCGGATCAAAATTGTGACCTCTAGAGTGTCCACAAGCTAAAAACACGATTTTTCGTACAATCTGGGTCCATAATCCATGAAGTTATGGTCCAATACATACCAATATCGAAGGAACCAAGATCATTGGGAGATAGACCTGTATTTCAAGTTTCGTCAAAATCAGATAAAAATTGTGACCTATAGAGTGTCCACAAACAAATTGTGAACAGACGGGGGCGATGGCATAATATGTCCACATGAAAATGTCGGCATATAAAATCCTATACCCCTTTTTAAATGATATCTCTTGTGATGTTAGACTGAACTGGGGACAGAATTTATATGATTTTAAACTTATTTCCTGAACTGATTACTATTTTCTAAGTATCGGTATACATAATTTGATTGAACAATGAGTATAAAATATAGCTCAAGTGAATATAATCACAGCATATACCAACAAGATTTATGGTTTAATATATACCAGACATCAATTTTCATTGTAAAACCTGATTTTCAGCAACTTACGTTAAATCTACCTTCCGTAGCAATAATCAACAAATCAAAATATTGTCCTGGTTGAAATGGAAAATCTGGTGATTCAGTTTCTTCTTCTCCCCAATCGCCAAATTTAGAATTTCTCAAGACAATATTACTGAACTGTCTTGGATTAAAATGGAAGCCTGTGTTGTCCCCGTCAGAATCACAATTGAAGTTTACAGCAAATCTACAAAAATAAAAAAATTACTAGTCTACTGTAAAGTAATGCAATAATATTTGATATTCTATCATATTGTTTGTAAGCACATGTATCCTATCAATGTATTACTTGTATGTATAAGTATGTGTTTCATGTATAATGTATTAGATTTTTGTGATTCTATATTCCTTAAATACATGTGTATCCATGTTGTTCTTAATGGATGTCTTGATGAAGTAAACATCTTATCATATAAATCAGTTAAACATTTATGTTTTGTAACATAATAAAATAAAGAAATATCACCTTAAATCAGCAATAAAATCAAAGATGACACCCCTCCCCCTCCTCCCACCCATCACTTTCCATATATATATATACACAAATCAATGGTGAATACTCATTTTTTGGTCTTATTCATACATGTAAAAGCATCCTTGATCTCACAAAACAGACATTTTATTTTGGGTTCACAAAGACAGATTAAACAAATGTTCTCTACTTGCTTCTACTCGAGTGGACAGGTATGATAAATTATTGTCAAATATAATTTTACACAGTAAAATATGTAACAAATCCTTTGAGTAAAAGTGTTGAATTGGGTTAATAGGACATGTTATTTTGATTAGTGATAGAGCAAATTCGACGTGATAAAATAGCTATTTTGAAGTAGCTGTGCAAAATGATAGCGAAGTAAAATTAAGTATGAAATTTTTGGTAGCTGATATCCAAGTCATATAAATAAGAATGATAATCATCTTGCTATGGGCTGATGTACCAGGTTTGGGATAAACAGAAATACATGTATATGATGTTATCAAATTACATATTGTTTCATTTGTATTTATTTCATAATTTAATGTTCTAATTGCCTTCTTTCGATAATTATCATACTGAAACTTGAAATAGGACATTACATTTTACTTTACAAATGAATAAAACCTAACTCACGATTGAGCATCTGGTAGAATAACACCTCTAATTCTAACAGCTACACCTTCTCTTAACCTTCTGTCAGGAAATACAGCATTGAAAGGGGCAGTCTAAAATTGAATATAAAAGACTTCAGTCAAATAGATAACCACTGTAAATTCAGTGTTTGAAATGAGTATACTGAAAAGCTAAAAAAAAAAACCTCTTTCAAAATCTGGAGAAAGAAACACCAAAGATTTATTGTTCTCTTTAAAAAAAAAGGTTTCCATAACCTGTTTGGGAAACCTTTTTTTCCCAAACATGCTTATTATATAGAAGATATATGTTACTGTAACTGATCTACAAATAACCAGAATCTAAATTTGTTATACCTAAAATGAAATTAATAGCATGCACTAGGATATGAAGTTTGATCGATTAATCCTAATTCATATTCTATTGCATGCTATTCTATTCTACTTTAATTTTCAACCCCATTTTGGTAACATATGTCCTATATAAAAAATTCCTGAATAAATTTTTATCCTAGTTAATCAATAACACAGCAGAACTGTTTTAAATATCAACATATTTAACATTTCAAATTACATCACAGCATCCAGAATCTACATATTGTAGAGATAATTTGTGAGTGTCTAAGGTGCAAAAAGCACACAAGGGGGTGGTCTGTAGTGCCCACCCCAAAAATTTGGAAAAATGGAACACAAAATATGTCATTTCTGATTATTTCGGGCCCTGGGTCCCCTAAACTGAGCTGAGTCAGAGGTTGGATAGTATGACCATATTTTTATTGGTTCTTCGGGCAGTCTTTTATTAATATCAGATTATACTTGCATTTCTTTTTCACTACCTTATTGTTTTGTATTGCCAAGTCATAATACTCAGCATTATCATTTAGTCTCAAATATTCTACTTCGTTAAACGGCAAACGATGCGAGAATTTAACAAAATCTTTTCCATTGACAGATATGTCATATTCATCAGGAGTGACGAGGAAACGTAAAGTGAACTTCTTTCCTTCCAGAAATGGAAAATATGGACTATCTGTTTCTTCATCATGCCAATCTCCTTGAAAGGAGTTTCTTACAACTGAGTTTCCATCCGTTCTTGGGTTAAAATGTAGTGCAATGTTACCACCATCATATTCATTCTGAAAATTGAGAGAAAACCTGAAAGAAACAAAGGATAACTATGACTATTTGAATTGGCAGGTCTTTCAGTCCTAAGGCCTACATTGTTAGTGTACCCCCAGTGCCAGAAATGGGCTCTAATAAAAGTTGAATCTATTTCAGTGAATGTTCAAGCTCCAAGAATGATTCCTCAAGCGATTATATGACAGAGACATAGCCCAAGCATTACCAGCAGAAACTTTTATTCACCTATAAAAGTGACATTCTATATACATTTATCAAATTAAAAAAGCCTAATGAGTGTGAATTACCATAATATTTAGATTGTCAGTTGTGACAACAATTTAAAAATGTTACATTGGGTTTATTTTCCATTTGCTATTTTAATAACTATGCCATTAGAAGTGTGCTTTTTTGGTTTAATAGAATTTATATCTCTGAATAGAATGTTACTTTTGCTTTCACAAGGTTCCTAAAATGTTTATTGACATGCTTTCTGCGTTGGTAAATGTTACTGTTTTCTTACTCATTTCCATAAGCTACATTCAACTACCATCACAAATGGTATATCAATTGCACTTCCAATGTGTCTAAAGGGTCTCAGCTTTTTAGGATTTCGGTTTGAATAAAAACTTGTTCATATTAAGATCAAATATAAACAATTACCCATCTGAACTATATGGAGTTTTTCCTCGAATAACAATCTGTGTACCAACTTTTAATCCACCAGGTATTGGTATAATTTGTGGTGCCGACTGTAATCATTGAAAAAGAAAGAAAAAGAAATCATGGAATTTGTTGCATTTAGTTGCTATGGAAATGAAATGAAATGGTGTTTAATTAATGTCCCACAGTTCTGCTCCGACTGGTCTAATGAAGATGGGCATAAACCATATAGTGTGCTTTGAGTGATATTTTGCCCGGACAGCAGCACTACTCTAATACAATCTGATTAAAATCTAGATGTATGTTTTGTTTCGTTTTTTTATACTTTCGATGGTCCCTCTACATGAAGATCTGACTAGTTGTAGTGGGAGGTTGTGTCAGGGATCATACAAGCAGCTTTTGACCCTATGACGTCAGGCATTTGATTAACCAATCAGCGTTGATGTTTCTAGTAGGACACCCACAGTTCCGTGCATCGCAAGCCAAGAACTCATTGCAACAGACCGTTTCTTTGGCTAATCCCTCACATCAACCAGAAGGTGAGTTATATAACAACTCTTCCAGATCCTAGTGTAGTAAAGACAAGTAAAACGAAATTTTGAACTATAAAAAATTAAACGCAATACGATCTGTGTTTTAATCAGATTATACTCTTATATCGAATTCCAATTACCAAGTTTTTTTTTAAAGTAGTCAGGGCCTCAGGGCATCCGCACGACTCTACGTTGTCTCTTGCTAGACTCTCCATTCTGCACAACTGACAAAGGGCTACCAGTGTAACCACACTGGAAAATCCTGACTTTCTCAGTCAACACCAGGATCGAACATGGCACCTCCAGGTTAGCAAGCCAACATCCTACCCACTGAGCCCCCACTGTGAACTAATTGCTTTGGTGGGGTTCTGATCTGTTTATTTCAGTAATTTTCAATTTGACTTTATAGGAAACTAAGATTATACCAAATTAAAACTAAACATCTCAGCCATTTTTTTAAATAAAGATAAATGCATGCACCACATACAAATTGAAAGTTCTTTCAATAAAAAAAAATGTAATTTATCATTTTGAGTAAGGGGTATTTAAGCAATATATCTGCTTTAGTCAAGAACTGGTCAGGTAGGTAAAAACTGAATGTTTGTATATCAACTTTAGCCTATACTTAACCAGTTAACTGACCTACATGTGAAACCATATAGATAAGAATATTTGTTGATGATTGGGTGTGTCTGACAGGCTTTGTTTGAGTAAAGGTGATAAATCCCAAGTGGGTCATTACTCATTATGAGACTACCATACATTTCCCATTTTGTCAGTATGGAGACAAAGAGAGAGAGAGAGAGTATCAGCACGGGGTTTACAGAAAATAATTATCCCATTCATAACTTTTTAAAATGATAACAGGAAGTGACGTCATCAACGAAAATAGACCAATATTAGATATCGAAGGAAACATATTTGTTTTTCGACCAATTTGAATGTGGTTTTCACCAATTTGTAGCTGTTTGTATTTTTTAATTTTTAAGTCGGAGCATTGTGGCCTCTACGACACATGTGTATGGCCCAATTTTGAGTTCAAAAGAGAAAATTATGAGCGTAACTTTTTTATTTTTGAAGATTTCGACTTGAAACTTTCAGAATACATTACAAATGGGTAGATTAACACAAAAAGGAAAAACAAAAATTTTCCGATTATCTCCCCTTTGAAGATGAAGTCAGTTTTTCAACTTCTTTAGTTTTGCCTTATTCAAAAATATTTGTCAATACGAGTAGTCTAGCTACAGCTAACATGTCCTGCTGTTTTAAAGTATAAGTAAAATGATTGTCTCATACTTTGAAGATAGGTGTCGTTTAGAACGCTAGAGCCTTTTCTAGCTTTGGTCGGCCAAAATGGGTTTCGCCGCGTTTGAAAATTTAATCTTACTTTTATTTTTCAATGGACCTGCGGTGGCTCAGTGAGTAATGGTTTAGGAAGTTCTCTACAGGTATTGACCGACAGAGTTCTTCGTGAGATGGTGTTTAACGTCCACTTGACACAAACTAGGTTAATTTGGGACTAACATATGGTTCAATTTTATTTCAATAATTCGCTTACGCATAGGGGTCTTTAGCAGTGGGAGGAAACTGGAGGACCCGGAGAAAAACCATGAGGTTGGACAGGCGACCCTACTCCTTTTCACGTACAACCGGGGAATCGAAATCACCCCAGTTGACTCAATGACAGACCTTATGATGCAGTGTATGATTGGCTTGTATAAAAACTATCAAACCTGTTTCGAGAACAGGTCTAGTTATTATTATTATAGACTCAAGTTCTTATTAAGGCTTTTAAAAGACCTGGACAGTTGGTAATCTAACTGAACTAGTTATTGATGTTTTTTTTTTAATTCTTTTTCCTAAATATTATATAAGACCCGTTCAACAGCTTATATTGTCAACCTCTGAACACATCTATCATGCATACTCATCCCCATTCAGGATGTTATTTGTTTCATACAGAGTTTAATTAACTTGATATGTCTAAAGTGTAAATATCATATGATATTTTGAGATAAGATTTGGAATGTGACCACCACCTACACAGTGAATAAATATCAAAATATAGATTGCCAGGCAACGAAACATACACCCACAGCAACTAATCTCATAAAGGCTATGATTCCTTAGGTAAATAAAAGGTAAAATCTTTAAAATGATAAACATCAATGGAGTGCTGACCAATTATTGAATTTCGATAGGCTTTTCAACCTCACTAATGCAAGCTAGGCATTACAAATTCCAAAGAGATGGAATGATACATAACTTTTTCGTTAGAGTATTCATAAGGTATTTAAAAAGGCCGGATGATTAATGCTGGTTGTTGAGTTTTCACAAAATTTATTGTAATCAACTGATGAACAGAAAGGGACGACAGCAATATACAACATTTCAATTTGGGCATCCAACAATTAGGATGAAATATTACTTACAATTTTATTAACTTGATATGACATTATGACTGCTTATTTTTGTGGTTTTTCTTAAACAAACTGAAATTAATAAAAATAAATGAAAGATTAACAAAAGATGAAATAAATAGTTGAAATGACTCTAATCATAGAATGGCTGTAATCATATAATGACTGTAATCATGCTATGACTGTAACCATAAATGACTGTAATCATGGAATGGCTGTAATCATAGAATGGCTGTAATCATAGAATGACTGTAATCATGGAATGACTGTAAACATAGAATGGCCTTAATCATAGAATGGCTGTAATCATGGAATGTCTGTGTGAACAAAGAATGGCTGTAATCATGAAATGACTGTGTGAACAAAGAATGACTATAATCATATAATGACTGTAATCATATAATGGCTGTAATCATGGAATGACTGTGTGAACAAAGAATGGCTGTAATCATATAATGGCTGCAATCATAGAATGACTGCAATCATAGAATGGCTATATTCATGGAATGACTGTAAACATAGATTGGCTATAATCCTAGAATGGTGGCAATCATAGAATGACTGTAATCATGGAATAACTGTACAAACATAGAATGACTTATAAGAATGACTGTAATCAGGGGTGCATATAACTGGGGTTTTTTTGGGGGGGGGGGTACCAAAAATGCGACCGACTGATGCACATGCCCCTCGTACGATTAACGCAGTCAGGCACCGAGCCAGTGGCAGATCTAGAAGCTGGAAATAGAGGGTAGGTGGGTGGGTGTCCAAATTTAAGGCGCCATCCACAATCCCACCCCACAATTAATGTCAACAAAATACTGGCTATAATACTGAGCTTCCTGGTAGAACACAGATATTATTGTCTATATAGTTGTTCGCCGATTGTTATCTCGCCGGAAAGCAGTTTGGCTTAAGTTGACATAAAGTTCATGTCATATATGATGATTGTTATTGATTTTGTTATTATATTTATGTGAACCTTAGAAGCAGTGGCTAAAATACTGAGCAACCTGAGAAAATTTTGAAAAATTGAGTTGATATCCTGGCATTTGAGGTCATTGTTGTGAGAAATTCTTGTGAAAGAGAGGACCAGAAATGTTAGTCAATGGGACAGAACATTTGTACAGTCTGACGCCCCACGACCCACGCACCAGTGGTATTACTACTAACTGGGCAGTTCACTATAGTGCTGAGACAGTATAAAAAAACAGAGGAGTGGAAGAATGATGTCATAATTGAATTGAAGAGATTTAGCTTTACATAATTTACAAAATTGTAAACAAGAAATTTATAATTGTACTTATCTTACTTTAATTTTTTTTTTACTTTTGTTATTTTCACTAGAAATTTGAATATTACTTTTAAATAAACTGAATAATCCAATTTGCATACCTATGAATTTCATCTAACATCTAACCCTTTTACCTACATTTTTTAACATTACAATATTATATCTACCATTCTACCTGACTGTGTTTATCAAACAGAAGTCATTATAATATAAATCATTCTCTCAAGTATGGGTAGCAGGTTTAATCTTGACATCTTCAAATAAAAATGTCATTTATATTAAAAAGTACTTACTTATGTTTATTAAAAGTAAATGTACTATGATTGACCTAGATGCACAAACTCTAATTGATTTATTATACCCTTTCCATATTCACAGTTTAACATAAATATAAATACTACCTGTCCTCAAGCTAGATAGAACTACCTATATTTAAAGTCACTTCTTTTTAAATGATCTTTTAGTAGATCTTAAAATATTTGGATTAAGATATGTACCTTTCATATGGTGGATCACAATGGAATTCTAATTATTCAAGGTAATCTAATTGCAACTATATGTATCTATATGTAGGTCAAAGTAAAATTCGTAAAATTTTAACTCCCTACTTTACAACTTGTTAGGGTTACAGTTGGGTGGTTTAAAAAAAGTCCAGTCTTTCAAAAGGTTAAAGTAATACGAAAGTTATGATTTCAGTTTCGAAGGAATAAGCAATTAAACCACTGTTCTGGCATATTATATACCCTTAAAATTTGAACTAATTACTACTGTATGTAATAGTATAAATATAAGGCTCTGGTACAAAGTATTATTTGGGATAGGTTATACTTGAGCTGTCATATTTATAACAAATTATAACATGCTCTAAATATTGTTGCCCAAACTGAAAATGTCTTCTGTTTTACTGTTTTGTTAGGCCTGTTATGTATAATTATATAGGTTACAGTTTAAACATACATTATTCTGCCAATTGCACGTCTTCCTTTAGGCCTGAATTTTTATCTGAATTATTAATTAGACATTAATTAACTTATCCAGACCATAATCAACTCTCGATGTCATGGCTAGCCTGCGATATTTTCTGGATTAGAATCCTATCTGCTGCTTAATGCTCATTGATAATTAAATCAAACCAGCGGCTGCCAGGCAAGTACGCCCACATTTTGCAAGAGATGGATAGAGAACAAGCTAAAAAAAAAATTTTTTTTTTTTTGTACAATCAAGGGCCATAATTCAGGAAGTTACGATCCGATATGCACAAATATCGAAAGGAACCAAGATCTTTGGGTTATAAAGATATATTTTAAATGTCATCAAAATCGGATAAAAATTGATATACCATATATTTACACTATTTGCGTAAGATGGGTGGCCATTTTGTCAGGCAGTTTTGGTCCCATTTTCATGAAATTCGAACTCAGTCGTCATTAGGGTGTAACGGTGATATATTCAAATGTTTAATCAGATAAAAATTATGACCTCTTGAGGGACAAAAAGCTAATAACGCGATTTTTCGTAAAATCAAGGGTCATAATTCAGGAAGTTACGATCCCATAAACGTGAATATTGAAAAGAACCAAGATCTTTGGGTTATAAACATACATTTCAAGTTTCATGAAAATCGGATCAAAATTGTGGCCTCTGGAAGGTCCACAACCTTGATATATCATATATGTACATTATTTGGTCCCATTCTCATAATAATCGAACTCAGCCATCATTAGGGTGTAACGGTGATATATTCAAACGTTTTTTAAAATCGGATAAAAATTGTGATCTCTAGAAGGACCACCAGCTAAAAACGTGATTTTTTGTACAATCAGGGGCCATAATTCAGGAAGTTATGGTCCAATATGCACAAATATCAATGGGAACCAAGATATTTGGGTTATAAACATGCTTTTCAAGTTTCATCAAAATGAAATGAAAATTGTGACCTCTGGTGTGTCAACAAGCTAAAAACGTGATTTTTCGTACAATCAAGGGCCATAATTCAGGAAGTTATGGTCCAATATGCACGAATATCGACAGGAACCAAGATCTTTGGGTTATAAACATGCATTTCAAGTTTCATCAAAATCAAATGAAAATTGTGACCTCTGGTGTGTCCACAAGCTAAAGACGTGACTTTTCGTACAATCAGGGGCCATAATCCATGAAGTTATGGTCTGATACATGCCAATATCGAAAGGAACTGAGATCTGTGGGAGATAGACCTATATTTCAAGTTTCGTCAAAATCGGATAAAAATTGTGACCTGTAGAGTGTCCACAAACAAATTGTGGACGAACAGACAGACGGACAGGGGCAACGACAATATACGTCCACATGAAAATGTGGGCATATAAAAATGGATAATCGAGACTATGTTTTTTATCGTACCGACTTTAGTAATGATGATCGAGGCTAGGCCCAAAATTCAATAGCTAAATACTCGGTTCAGGTTGGATCAATCTGAATGAAATTTACAGCAAATTCCCTTTACATTATCTAGTTTTTAACTATTATAGTGAGAACTGCCAGCTCTTTATCTAATCTCCCATAATATATCTTTAATTGTAAAATCATCAGAGCTACTGATATAACAACATAGGTACCATCCAAACTGAAAGTTTCTTCAGATATATTGTGTAGTAAACACTATTATTAACCTTTATAAAAATCAGTTGCCACGGAGGCAACGAAACATAATAAAAGCAGTTAAGTTCACAGGGCAAAATTTAAGAATGGTATTCATGGTTTTCCATCGCAACTGAATGATAGGACACTTGTCATTGCCAGGCCCTCCATCTTGAACCACTGACAAGGGGAAACCAGGCTGGAATATCTTTGGAAATTTGTTGGCCAACATGGAGATCTAACCAGGCATCTCCTGGTTTGTGAGCCAGCTCCATAAAAATCAATTCAGCCGAAGTTCGATAGGAAACCTCATCTCTCAACCCTCTGTGTTTTGAGATAAGAGATGGTGCTATATAGTTTCTTCTTGCAAACCCCAACGCTAATCACATCTGGCTTCAAATAAGCAAAATTGACAATTTTTTCTTCAAACCAATGATTGATTATTGTTATTTATAACATTTATGCCACATCCAACTCCAATTTAGCATAAAATCCTACCTGACAACGGTACAAATCCCCTCTTTTTAAATCGAAGCGATAATAGATTGCTGTCTCCAACATTTTAAATTTGACGTCTTTAACACATACAGGCGGGGCCTCGTGTACAATAGCCAATCAAAGTACTAACCTAATCCGAGTTGCGCAGGAGTAATACACCGTAATTATGAATGTCCATATCAATTTTGATAAAAACAACGCTTGATTTACTTTATTGTCAATAGTATAAAATTAACTTATTTTTAAGATGTTACATGCATTAAGAAAGAAATTAAGTTTGCCAGGTGAAACTAAATTAAGGCGCCCAATCGTAACTAAAAACAAGCACATCAGTATACTTAAACATTTTTATTTAGCTACGTTCTCCTAGCTTAGCTAAAGTTAGCTAAATACAAACAATGATGACCATAGTATATTTCAGTACAGGTTTCAGTGTAACATATCCATGTCTCAGTAGTTTGTCACTAAGTAAAAGTAATGCCCTTTTCACTAGAGTGTCATCATAAATTGTGCATGCTCTAGCAAATGTATGGTGATTTGGGTATATAATTGTATATTAATAGAAAATTAACTATAGGAAAAATAAAGCTGTGCAGTTTCTTCCACTATGTTATAATCTATTTTCTATTTTTGTAACTGTATGCTGCTCCCTGTGGGCGTTTTTATGCAATAAAGTTTAACTTATCTTGATTAGAGCAAACTGTTGCTGTCCTCTTGTAATTAATGGTTCTGTTTGTGATTCATTACAATGCTATTTTATTTATGTCTGTATAATGTATTGTAATGAAACATCTTACAATAACATACTGTAACTTTTGGATTTAACTAAATAAGATATAGTTGACTGACAGTTCAGGTTAACAAAATATTTATGACTTATTACAGATAAAAAAAAATAATGTTGTTAAATCCATCTTCTCTTTAGATAATAATACAGTGGTAGGTTAAGTAAATAAGTTCTATTCACTAAATATTGCTGACTGATCCTGTTCTGGGATTTAGATTGTATATTTAATTGGATGGGTAGTAATGAATACAATAGTTACAGAACAATCTATGCTCCCGATTGTGTTTGCACCAACAAAAATGCCGTGTTAAACAACAAAACTGTCAAAAAATACAGATCGAGCTTACCTATACACTATGTGGTAACAGTTCAACCGGTAAAATAACGCAGACGTGTTCACTCCTTCAACACAGACACCACTTCTCATCAGCAGTCATGTGACCTATGTTTCATCGAAGAGTTACCGAACGGCGAAGAGCAAGTTATTTTATTCGATGTGGACCAAGCCTAAAAATTACCACACAAATAATTTTGCCCTGTGTAGGTCTATTATCTTATCTCGAAGAAAGTAAATACACGGTCGTGAAGGAACAGGATACAATCTGACATATTAATAGCCAGATTAAGAAATTTTTGCTTGACTCGTTATAAGATCAATCTAATATTGCAACCTATTATAATGGTTGATTTGTCAAAAGTAAATGACCAAATGACACGAGTATTTATCATAGAAAAAAACGTGTTATAAGTTCTTTTGATGTGACCAATAGACCTTAACATATATTTAATAACTAATAAAACAATAGCCCTTTGCTAAATTAGTATTGTTCTATCCTAGAAAATAATCTAAAAATTGGCGGGAAAAATACATTGGCACAGTTTTGAATTTTACTTTTCGGAGTCTATGGGGGTTTAACGAAATGAAATGAGATTTAATGTCCTACTGTTCTGCTCCGACTGGCTAATGAAGAGGGACATACGCCATACAGTGTGCTTTTGGGGGGAATTTTGCCCGGACAGCGGCGCTACGTACGGCATAAGCTATATATACGTGTTTTCATTATATTATGTATTATAGCTTCAATTAACTATTGATTCCCTATATTTCTATGAGTTCATTTCATGAATAGGTACCGCCAGACATTATTATTGGTGGGGTAGCACTAAAGTAATCTAGATCATCTCAGAAGAGAACCCAATGAAACCCATTGCAAAATGTGCAGTATCACCCTAAATATCACAAATGGGTACCGCCAGACTTTATTATTGGTGGGGTAGCGTAATTTAGATTATCTCAGAAGAGAACCCAATGAAACCCATTGCAAAATGTGCAGTATCACCCTAAATATCACAAATAGGTACCGCCAGACTTTATTATTGGTGGGGTAGCGTAATCTAGATTATCTCAGAAGAGAACCCAATGAAACCCATTGCACAATGTGCAGTATCACCCTAAATATCACGAATGGACAATGCCAGACATTTTCAGTGGTGTGGTACCTCGCCTGACACCACAAAAATTCGACCCCGGAAGGACAATGCCAGACATTTTCAATGGTGGGGTGCTCCTGCCAGAAAGCCCCGAAAATGTCGACCTCCAAAATTACGCTAGATCAGCTCAGAAGCGAAAAAAATGAAACTCAAATGCAAAATGTTCAGTATTACACCAGATATCAGGAATGGACAATGCCAGACATTTTCGAAAGTAAGTTAGATGAACCCAATAAAACAATTTGCAAAAGGTTCAGCATTACCCCATGAATGGACAATGTCTCGATCGGTTCAGAAGCGAATCCAATGAAACCCACTGCAAAATGTTCACCAATATCCCAGGTATCACAAATGGACAATGTAAGACATTTTTGATGGTGGGGTATCCCACCAGACGCCCCCAAATTAAGCTAGATCAGCCCAGAAGCGGTCTCGGTGATATCCACTGCAACATGTTGAGCACCACCCGAAAGATCTTGCAAAAAAAAAAAAAAAAAATCCAGAACAAAATTGCTGCAGGATTATGCTAGATCGTTTCTTAATTACCCGTATACGCTTTAAAAGTCTATTTGTCGTCAAGGAGCACCATTGGTAAGCTTTATGCCACCGTTATTTTTGTTTACCATTTGAACTTATAAACAGAAGACATCCTGTCTCCCACTAGATTACAGTCTTTTTTGGAAAAACATGCGCTTTGTTTGAAAGTGCTTGGATCCTCGAAGAAAAGAACATGCTTTTTGATGATTTGCATATGGATATCTTTACATTTGCGAATTATAGATTAATAATAATTATACAAATGTTTACAAGCGCTTTTTTCATTGCTTTTGAAATTGGACCACTAAAGGATATGAGAGGGGCAGCTTTGTAGTTTCGAAGGCATTTTGCGCTAAAATTACATATCTTTAAATTCTATTTTCCATTGACAACTCATACTGTGTCTCCTTAGTGCCCCTCGCAAAGCTTCCTAAGTAACAAAATATTTATCATTCTCTGGTCCTTAAGCGAGTCCGTGCAGCTGTTCCAATAGCTATTCTTCGGGATCAAGAGAATAAAGGCCCAGAAAAATATCCGCAGTTCTGAGCGCATTTTGCTCTGAACATTGTCAATTGGCAACTCATAATAAATATGTTGCACCTTAGGCGAGTCTCGCATATTGGGGGATCAATATTTATCATTCTGTAGTCAATAACATTTTGGCGATTTCCGCGCCTCCCCGCAAATGTAAAGTCAATAAAATTTATCTTCATATTCCGCGGAGCGTCCTAACGTACTGAATTTTTTTACATTATATGTAGTCAATGCAACTTAGGTGACTTATTAATACAATTTACGCCGTTGCTGGGACTTCATTACACTCGTTTACCCATAATTCCTCTAGGAACGGTGTCTGATCAGACTACGTCCTCTCACCATAGTGCGATCAGACATAGTTCCTAATGGAACCTAGGCTACCCCCTTTACCATTTACTTTGTATCATTGGTATTACCATGTAGGTAACATTTTGGAATTTAAATCAATAGCCCACAGTAGAGACCAGACCCGTAACTAAGGGGGGGGGGGGCTGTGAGTGTGTGTGTGTGTGGGGGGGGGGGTCTGATGGGATTGCCCGTCGATAAATATATTTGGCTTTGTTTATTAATATTACCAAGGGTTGTGCTAAATATTTTGCAGTGGGTTTTATTTGGGCTCAATTAGGAGCTGATCTAGCTAACTTTAGGAGCTCGGCTTTTGAAGGCGTCGATTTTACAGGAACCTACACTTTTTCAACAGGACTTTTTTTATAGGGTACTTTTAATTTGTAACTTGCAGTATTCATGCTGTATTGCATCAATTTTCTTCCATTCTGGTGGATATTAAAATGCAAAAAAAATGTATAACAAGGTTATGTAACAGATTCTATTTTTTTTTATTATTTATAATTTTAGGCTACACTAATTTATTTGTATATTGGTATACGTAGCAAAATAAATAGCTATGTCCAGCCGTTTAGTCCGGTCGAATGGCAGGGCGACGCAACTCCCCCTTTCCTGTGAGTTTTTAGAATTTGCAAATTTCACAACATTGGTTCGTCTTATTCCAATCGGCCCATTTCTTTTCATTTTATTTGATTTATAAGCAATGGTGTAGGGTTTGGGATCCGTTATACAGTTTCGTTTAATATAATATACATTTTGAGATAGATCTGCAGATATGTCAGCCACATGGAAACAACTTGTACGGTATGATATTTCCAGTATTGATTAATTGTGGTTTAAACATGGCTTCATCACTATCATAGTATCAGTACATGACTTCGTTTTCACAAACAACAGGCTCCGGCAGAGCAGATTAATCGAGATCTTCGGAATGAGTGAGATCAGCAAAGTCCCGTGTTTAGCTGGACAAGGGAACAGTGACAAATCATCACGAACTGTGATAAATCTGAGGGTTGGTTTGGATTAACAAAAGTAAGTGTTAATGAATGCTCGCACGATCAACACATTTCACTAGGAAGACAATTTCGAATATTAATTTGTTCTGGACAATCGCGATTTTTTGACAGACGGCACTGTCAGTGATGGCGACCGAGGAAGACCGTTGATTTTGACTGTGAAAAGGAAGGGTTACTTGGACAATTGACTCGTGAAATTGTTGTGTTGTGAATAAGGTTACTATCCAGTTAATAACTATTAGCCTAGCAAAAAAGAGTGTCTAGTTGTTTGGCTGGAATGAGAGGTTATGATAGATTTTGAGGCATGTTACCAAGAAAATGAATTTAATTGCAGGGATGGGGTTATAGATCCTTGGGGGGGGGGGGGGTGCACAAAAATCCAGTATTTATATGGTTACCATTAGGTCTGGCCGGTGGGGGTGAGGGTATCCTAGCTCCAGGTGGTGAGAAAATTTGGGCTGAGGCAGATCATGCTAAATAGTCAGTTGAGAAACTATAGCTACAAGAACTAGCTAAAAATGTTGAGACATACTGACGACAGGGCTCTCACATAGGGGTAGGCTGAGGAGGGCATTTGCCGGGGGGAAGGGGGGGTGTGACACTTTTTCGGGACGGCTAAGATAGCAAATCACCGGCCTTCGCGTCCCCATAACCTGTGTTCAGTTCACATTTCAGCAAATAGAGAGGGTAGAATTATGATTTTTTCAAGATATATTACAGGGTTTATCAATCAAATAGAGGGCTGAAGGGAAAATAAACATACAATTTTTACATATAAGTTGATTTTCACATGGGGGGTTGGATGGCCGAATGGTTAGCACATGCGAGCTGCATCATAAAGTTTGTCATTGAGTCAACTGGCGTGGTTTTGAATCCCCGGTTGTACGTGACATTTTGACTTTTAAAAGTTTTTCAAATGGATACAGGACAGAAGTATCGATGATTTAGTTGTATTTTTACAAACTTAAAGAATTAGAATGGAATTTATAGTTAGCTTGCACTTGTTTGTGGATGTTTATTGGGGCATGATAAGCCACCGGCCATGTTAAATTCATTGAAAATTGACTGATTCTGTAAAAAATAACCTGGCATGGCACAATGCTTATGTTTGGATAATGTGGTTACTTTTTTACAGAAAATTAGGCTGATAATAAACATGGTCCTTACCCCCTTCTTAAAAGTCTCACATATATATATCTTTCAATCCATTCATCTGAATTTGGTATCCAATCAATAACTGGTTTTATATCCGTTTTTGATGAAACTTAAAATATATGGTTATAACCCAAAGATTTTAGTTACCTTTCTATATTGGCGTATATTGGACAGTAATATTCTGGATTATGGCCCCTGATTGTGCTAAAAATCTTCTTTTTTTTTTTAGCTTGTTCTCTGTCCATCTCTTGCAAAATGTGGACATAAATTGCATGGCAACTGCTTGTTAAATTAAGAAATAACCTACAAGCCCTATTAAGTAATTGTAAAATGTAAATACGTTTCAGTATTTCCCAAATATATATGCTATTCTGCAAACATAAATACACAATTCTTTTCTGTTACTGATAGCTCCAAG